AAAGTAAATGCTTTACTTTTTGCACCCCCTGGTTGCATTCCACTGAGTGCTGTGCTCCCCCGTCCACCCTGGTGTGCCACTAGGAAAGGCTATATGCCCTGTTGATGCTCTGGGAGTTGAGGTCAGCTCACGGCCAGGTGCAGCTCCTTCCACACATCCCCTGAGCTTGGATAATCTGCATTTTCCCTGGAAGACAGCAAGCTACTCCCACTGCGTTGGCCCAAACACTTCTAAGAGGGACCCTCGAAGGCAGATAAACTCCCCAAGGACTCCAGTGTGACCCTGTGAAGCAATCATTAACACGGGGTAACATCAAGATGTAAGCATTCTGACAACCCACAGGAAATAAGCAACTGTTGGCCCATCACTGTGAGCTGCCCTGGCTTCGGGGTCTCTGCTGGCCCAAGACGCTCTGGGCCTTTCCGTGTCCTGGTACGTATGTTAAAATGCTCTCACGGAATCCGAGACACTGGGGTGCCCCCGCCAGGCCCTTTTACACTCTACCTTGGAAACTTCCACTGGCTTGGATAGGAAGTTTGAGGACATGTCACAAACCAGCACTGCTCCCTCGACGTCTGGGATAAAGTCAAACTCCACTCCGTGCACAGTCTCATTGGCGCAGTAGTATACATAGGAGGCATCGGGGCTCAGCTTCCAGGTGCTTGGATCTGGAATTTCTACCACAGAAGAAAAAGTGGAGACTCTGGACTTTCATTCTGCCTTCCTTGTGTAGATGAGACTGACAAACTTCCCCTAGCAGTGAAAGGCTCATCCCAAAGCCCTCCCAAGTGAAACCACCCTATCCATCTTGCATTATAATCCCCATCAACGACCTAAAAAGATTAACAATCCCACCCCTTTGACAGTTATTGGGGGTAACTCATCTTCAAGAATGGTGTGGTGGGTATCTGTCGAGTTTTTTCTCATTACCCAGCATCCATCTATCCTATGTCCACTGAGTTTCTTCTTGGGGCTCCAGCCTCCCCAGCTCAGCCCACGTAGCTCCAGTGTGGCCAATTCCACTTGCAGTCACATGACTGATTGGGAATGGAACACAGGAGACGTCAGACTCTAACTGGAAATGCTTGAGCAAAGGCACTGAAACTTGGGAGAACAGAAGGTCAGGAGCATCTTCTAAAAGGGAGTACAGCTTTTCCGACTGTGGAGCCACCACAGAGGAGACGAGGGGAGACACCAGGACCTGCAGGCACTGTTGGGGCCCTTGATCAAGCCATTCCTGAAGCCAATTGGCCTCTAGGTTTTCAGGTGAGAGAACCTATGAATACTTTCTGTAGCAGCCAGTGAACAGTCTTAACAAGTACAACCATCCAGTCTGAATGGTACCAAACCAACTATTGACCAGAAGAAGGAATTAAAAACTGCTGGTTGCCCTTGGCGGGGGTAACCTGATATCTAAGGAGGGACTACCCACCCATCAGCATTTGTCAGCATTTCATTATCACTGTTGAACTCAGATCCCAGCACTTACTCGTGTAACTCCCAAGTTTAGGGTGGACGATATTCACGGTCCCAAACTTCTTGGCTTCTTCGGCGGCCTTAGCTGACCAAGATCCTGTCACCACATAGTCGGCACACCTTCCTGCTTTCAGGCCAATCAGGTTTAAGGGGACAGCACTGAACTGGCCAGACCCACCTCCTTGCACAAAAATCACCTTGTAGTTGTCTGGAACGGCTCTGGGCAGAAGTACATGTGACGGTAAACAGAGACACACAGGGCGCAAGAATGAGTGATGCTCTCTACCAGCACTTTACCCTGGGTGGATATACTACAAGAAATATGGTAAAGTCCCCCCACGGCTTTGCCTTCCCCAATCCAGTCACTTATCTATTCCCTCCTTGGACAACCATTATCGGGCTCTGTGTGGAACCCAAGGGGAATGTTTGGAGGGAAGTCAGTAACACCCTGCTGGTCATCTTGCTACCACTCTCAGACTACATGGTTCAAGGGAGGCCAACCCTCGCTCCAGCAGAAGAGCACATGACCCGAGCTGGCCAGTGGGGTTTGGTTCTGAGACCTTTGCTCAAACTTCAGGAAAAGGGGAACGCTTTCTACTGAGGGAAAGGATAAACCGGCTAATCCTACAACCCCTGGTGGCCACCTGGTGAAGCCAACACCTAAAACAGCAGAGCCAAAAGATGAAGATAAAGACCTTCCTGAACATCACCTCAATCACTCCCTCACTTTACAGTTACACACGGTAACACACCCCCTCTTTCACTTAAGCTAAGAGCTGGGCATCTGTCACTTACAACCAGCAGTCCAAAAAATAGATATGTGCTGGTCCATGCTATGAACCAAGCGGACAGTGATAAGGATCATAGATAACGTTTTAGGCCTAAGCATGTAATCACATACGGACATACATCAAGACTAACAGGGGGGCGCCTGGGTGGCTCATTTGGTTAAGCGTGCGACTTCAGCTCAGGTCATGATCTCAAAGTTTGTGAGTTCGAGCCCTGCGTTGGGCTCTGTGCTGATGGTACAGAGCCTGGAGCCCACTTTGAGTTCTGTGTTTTCCCCTCTGTCTCTGCCCCTTCCTCAGCCCAGCTCACACTCTGTCTCTCACTCAAAAATAAATAAACATTAAAAAAAAAACAAGACTAACAGGGAAATTTCTGGACTCCAGCATAGAAAATGAAGATGATGGTTGGAATGGCTCTAGGCAGTAAGAGAAGCTCAGCTCCAGAGGGACTAGACCAAGGAAACTGGACCCAAACCTTTGAGTAAGGTCAGAGCTTAGAAACAGGTATATGGAAGGCAGATGGCTACAGACAGGTCCAGCACCAAGGTAAGAACCAAAGGGCAGGGCAACCCGAGAGGGTCCTGGGGAATGGGTGCTGTGCAAATATCTGGTCCTGAACTATGTCTGCCTGTGATCATCCAGTGCCTACTGCCAGGTCTCATCGAGAGGTTCTAAACATGAGGTTCTCAGCAGCTGAGAGGGTTCCAGGTCTATGTTATTCAGATGCCAGACAGATAAGAAGGCCAACACCTGGATGGAAGGACAGCAGATAGAGACAGAGCAGACAGGGGTACAAGGTAGGCACTTGGTTAGAATAAAGGACAGGCCCATAAACTGAACTGAGAGTCCAGTCCCAGGAGGCTCACAGCCTACATCTTCTGGGGCCAAGGTTCCATGAAGCACAGGATTATGCTGTGGACAGGACACAGGACCCAGCAGGCAGACCCGGTGAGTGAAGTCACGCGAACGATTACTGGTTCTGACCACTCGCATTGCACTGGGCTTCTAGGGGCTCCTCACAAAAGTGTCCCCAAGCCTGCCCCATCTTGAAGCGTTTCATCAAGGCAATTTAAAAGGAAGTAGTCCATATAATTCCAATCTTGTTACGGAATAATGCAAACATGAACCCTAAATTATTAATAATAATTACCTGACTGATAGGGTTATGGATAGTTTAATTCTATCCATAGTTTAACTATCCAGTAGTTTAAATTCTAGTTTAATTTGTGATATTCAAGTTTGCCCCTAAACTTTCTACCATGAACATGCACCAGTTCTATGAGCAGAACGAAAATGTGGATTCCCACCCCCACTCAAGATTACCATATTCATAACGTTTATGTGAATATGTATAGATAATATATAAATCTCTCATTTAAACAGCAATCTATTTACAAGTAAGGTTTCCTCTGGGTAAGGAGAATGGTACAGATAAGCTAAGAGGGACCACCTGAGAAGTTCCTGGAGTGAAGAACTCTTAAAATTACCCAAAAAGTTTGCAAAAGATGAAGTTTCTACAGAGATTCTGATTCAGCTGGGCTAGAGAGGGGCCCTGCACTTAAATTTTTTAATACCACCCCGCAGCCAGGTGATTCTGACAGGTGATCTGAGACCCACATTTTTAAGAGCCAGTAAACTAACCAAGATGACCATTTCTTTGTTATCTAAATCCCTATTAAGCCTGAAAAATCTTTCTTAGATATAATGATTCCAAATCTTTGGAAACACCACATAAAATAAAAACACACAAACACAGGAGAGCAAACAAAAAAAGCATGATGTACTAATTTAGTGACTTTGTAAGAATCTTTAAAAGTTTATTTTTAATTATGAAATATTCTTAACACACAGCAGAGTAAATACTATAACAGACACCCAGGTATGTGGATTATCAAACAAAAGTAACGAATTTGGTCTTTAAAATTTTGAACTTACAACAATTCCCGCACAAGATTCTCTGTGTTGTTAATAATCTTGGCAAAATCTGATGACCTGTGGCTCATTTCTGTGGAAGGAAAGAAAAACAAGAAAACACAGTTCCAGTTCAAAACCAAATGAACAGAAGGAACTTTAGAAGCAAGTGCACGATTTGCAAATAAAATAATAACGGGAAATTGCAGTGATTTTGCAAATTGTGGGCCAAGGCTCACTTAGTTTAGGGGAAAAATCCAAACTGATTTTCCAATTGCAAACATTTGAGCCTTACAGCCACAGCGGAATGATTTTTCAAGTCGCATACTAATTGAATGAGCCATTTACTAATTCATCCTTCCGTCCCTGTGATTTCTCACAAACACGAACCCGTGCACAAAGGCTACCCCCCCCCCCCCCCCCCCCCCCCCCCCGAGAACAGCAGCACAAATTTCCGCACTGTGGCTCTCATTTCACAGAAACCCAAGTATTCGTCCCAAACCCACAGGAACAAAATTTAATAGCAACAAGCATGCAGTTAACCCTATGATCTCTTAATACTATGTGGCTTTTGGAATTACCTAACAAGAAAAAGGACATTAAATTTTCAAGAGGAAATTTTTAAATTCCAAGGTTCTCTTCCTCAATAATGTAAGAGAAACTTAATGAAATTATTAACATGCAAGATCTTGAGCAAAGGCTTGTAGACCTTTAAACATTTACTGAGTTCATTTGTAAGTATAGCCCAGGCTGTACAATGAATGTGAGGCAATACTATAAAGTTTCAGAGCATGGTGAGGCATGTGATCTCCGATGCTATGAACAGCAAAAACCAACCATGAAAGGGTAAGCGGAGAGGCAAGAACCCCTCACCAGCATGGGTACTGATTTCAAAACTGCTTCCATCAATCATGCGACCAAAATTACTAAAACTTAAAAACAGATCTACAAAGGCCTAAAGGAAGACCGAGGGGAAAAAATTCGAGGCTTGATGCATTTTAATCAGTTTCCTTTGGAACCTGGATATTCAGAGTCAAAAAGTAAATCTTACCAAGAACACTAATCCCAATTCCTTTGTAGTCTAATAATTCCTTTTGTATCTCTAACAATACCTAGGAAAAAACAAGAGAAAATAAAATGATTTGGATATTCTGTGCAGAGCACTCCCTCTGGACATCAAAGAGAGGGAGTCCACCCACAGGGCCTGTGAGGTCCAGAAGCTTCTGTCATGCCCACGGCCAATCCCCTTCCTCCCATCCAGCCCACAGAGCCCTGCTAATGCAATTTACACACAAGTTAAGTGTGAAATTATGTGATGCGATTGATGTTAAAATACAGCTTTTCTGGGGCACCTGGGTGGCTCAATCAGTTGTGCGTCAGACTCTTGTTTTCAGCTCAGGTCAAGATCTCATGGTTCATGAGATCAAGCCCTGCATCGGGTTTCACACTAATGGCACGGAGCCTGCTTGGGATTCTCTCTTCCTCTCTGCCCCTCTCCCACTCGCTCTCTATACTCTCTCAAAATAAATAAAAATAAACTCTAAAAAAAAAAATACAGCTTTTCCAAAAGCATGAATTTATTTAGGTATAAAAATTCACCTGGATTCAAAAAATAAAGTTCAAATAAAGAATTTTTCTCATGACAACCCTCAGCTGTCAAGATAAGACCTTTGGGAAAAAACGGACGTGCTAGAAAATATCCCCTCCACTATCACATTTCTCACTCTGAAAGCAGAAATACAACAAAATGCATAAAGTTCTGGGTTCAAGGAAAAACAAAAAAGTCGGTGAGGCTGAAATTAAACTGATAACTCAATTTTCCATCTTTTTAGTCTAAGGTGCTCAAAAGGAACAGGGTGGGTGTGCGGGAATTAGGAAGAGCCTGCTGTGAATGAAGGGGCTCCTGGGTGGCTGTTGGTTAAGCGCTGGACTCTTGATTTGGGCTCAGGTCCTAATCTCACCGGTTCCTGAGATCCAGACCCCTGTTGGGCTCCGAGAAGCCTGCTTAGGAGCACGTGCTCTCTCTCAAAATAAATGAACATTTAAAAAAAAAAAAAGAAAGAAACACCTGTTGTGAAAGATTAATGGTCAGGGGAGGTAATGACATACCGACAGAGCCATGAGGGGGATATTCCTATCCCCGATGCGCAGATGAGTAATATCAGCCAAGGCTCTGAGGGCTATGCACCTGGCCAGCCCTTTGACCCCTCTACTAAGATTACTGCAGTCCCTTAACCACATTCTACCTTACAGGGACAACTGGGTGGGGGAGACCCAATTTACCACCAATCCCAAAGAGTCAGGAAATGGGGCACGGCTCACCAAACCTTACAAAGCTAGCTCGGGGGGAGCCCCTTTGATGTTTTGTTCCTCCAAAATAAGTAAAATGCAAGTAACTACACACTGAAAAAAAAAAAAAAAAACCAATCCTTTATTTATTTTTCTTAAAGAAGGAAGATAAAATCCTACCAGAGATGAATGTTAAAGTGTGAAATGACATGATATCTGGAATTGGCTTTATTGTTTATTAATTTTTTTTAATGTTTAATTATTTTTGAGAGAGAGAGAGAGAGAGCTACAGAGAGCAAGCGAATAGTGGGGGCAGAGAGACAAGGAGACACAGAA